TATTGTTATCCGTTTTAGCATTGTCCGAAGCACTGTTCGTTTGTGTATGACAATATGGAAAATACATCACTTAATTAGATGAACAGTTCGGTTAATAGTTATTAATATCAAATTCTCAAAATATTACTGAATAATAATATCAAAATATTACTTTTTAAACCGAAATGTTACTTCGCGAGATAAGATCAAAAATAAATTTCACAAACTACCAGATGGCTGGGGAATGTCACCAGTAAAGAATTAAATTACCTAACTGCTTGGGTTTTATTTTAGTCAACCATTAAAATTAGGCAAAAAAGCTACCATTTGTTTGGTTTGGGGTAGATTTTGAATAAGATTCTTATTTCGAGGGCGATCAGACCCTTTTCTTCAAACAGAAGAAATCATCAAGTCGCTTTCTAAAACAAATCCAAGCACATATGTGATAAACGTTTTGAAGAAGATAAAGCTAAAATCCTTATATGATGTTATAATGGACGTCCTTCGAATGTTTAGATTAGTGTGCAATGCAGGTAAAATAATTTCGAGAGCATTGTGAACGATAGTTCATAAATGAACTATTGCATAACTCTTGATGATGATCGACTAGTAAGAACTTTATTCCTGGTTAAAATGCTGTACATGTAAGTCTTTATATGTTTCTATTTTATATTTGTATTGAATTAGTTAGTCTATTGCTAATCCAAAAGATATTTTTTAATATCATTTCATTAATTAAATTAATTTACGTAATTAAAAAACCGCAGACGAATGTCATCACATTAAGCTATGCCTAATGTATTGCTGTCTTTGGATGTTAAAGCTATACTTTAATTTCCTTTGTTAGTATAATATCAGTATGTATTGTTAGTCTAGCTATAGCATTTGTTGCCTGAATAACCTTTTATTGCGAGAATTATATTTGAAATGCCAAAATGGTTACCAATAATAGTTAAGTAAATAATTTGTTAGTTAGTAAATAATTTTTTTTTTTTTTTTATCTTTACTTTAAAAGAATATATCTTGGGGTGGGTGGGAGAGAGAGAGAGTGACGCATCTGAAACTAAAACTGTAATTTTGTTTTTCTTTCAGAACTCAAAATTATCTGTTTTGCAGTAACAGCCCAATCTCTTATTATAACAATTCTTAAATTCAGTTATTTTAGCTCTTGGCCAAATAGCATATTTTTTGAAAAAGTTTATTTTTTGTCTCAGCTTCTTTTAATTTCGACAAAGATTATAAGATTGATAAAGTTGAAAAGCACGAAATTGTTGTTTTCATTAAACTAAATACTTTTTTATGTACAAAATTATGGAATGAAGTTAATTTTTAAACACTGAAATTAATTGCATAATCTTGCGTTAACTTGAAAAAAATAAAAAAAAAATTATTGCTTTGTTTGTCAATGCTTTTGTTGTTATAAAAGAAATTGCTAAGAAAAGTGTGCAGAGGAAATTGACATAATATCATCACATCTGTTCGATCTATTTTTAGAAAAGGAACATTTGCTATGATTAAGGAAATTCTTGCAATTAACAAAAAATAAAATAAAAAAAATAAAAACAGTAAATTTACATAAAATATATAATTCTTTTTCATTCATATCCATAGACTACTTATCTGTCAAACATTGTAGGTTTATCCATGTATTGCACATATTTATCTAAATTAATTTAATAGTTCCTTAAAAGTAAATATTGCACATATTACCATATTATTTAAGTCAACTAACAAAAATGAAAATTATGCAAATAATTAACAAGAAGATTTTATTTTACTTGATTTATTAAATTAAGAGTAACATTAACAGTTAAATATATTTTATTTAATTTATAAAGCAGAATATTTCTATTAACTGAGTTATTTGATCTATAAACCAAGTAACGCATTAGAATCTGGATATACCTGAGTCCAGATAAATGGAATTCTGCTGTATTTCTTTTCCTTCAAATGATATCCAGTATTGAAAAAAAAATCACTATTTTTAAGACAGTTTTTAAAAGATGTGGCAACAGTATAGCAAGTTCAATTTTGAACAGTTAAAACTCTGTATAATATAACATATTTTTATTTTTTTTTTAAAGAAATTCTTTTCAGATCTATAGTTTTATTTACTATCCAATAATATGCTTTGCATTTATATGACAATATATGTTAAAATTTTCAGAAAAGGGATTCTGTGATTTTTATTGTACGAAGAGAAGAATTTAAAGTGTGGATTTTATTTCTCAGAATTATACCTGAAATGTGTTTTTCGGTTATTTACAAATATCAATAAAAAAAGCTGTTTTTACCAAGATACCATAATGCTTGCTTTTGACAAAGGAACATAAAATAGGAACTTTAGAATACCTGCATGCAACTGTTTTGCTAAACAGCCCTTTGCATTACTGTAATATTTATATACATACATTTTAAACATGTATATTCATTTTCTAACTGTGTTTGCACTGGGCAGATTCCTTTAAGAACAAAAATTATATTTATATGTATATTTCAGTTTTATACAAATAAAAAATGACGTAAATTTTGCTAAGACTTGCAATTATTTTCTCTCCTCTAGAGCAATTGGACGTGTTTTCATGAATAGCTTTAAAATTTGTTATTTTATTTTTTAAAACTCTATCCTGTATTTTTATTTAATATTCAATTTAAAAATCTTTTTGTTATCTAATAAACTCTGTCTTTTCACTACATGTGTTTATTCGCAGAAGCAAATTTGTTTCAGAAAAATATTAGATCTTGAATACAATAATTAATTTTAAATGAAAATTATAGTTATAAACAGGACATTTTTCTTAAAAAATTACCTGACTCGCAGTATTTAAATATATAATTATTAATTTTTTAATTAGGTGCATAATTAGTTTTCTTAATAAGAAAATAGCAATATCAGTTTCCTTCCAGAGCTGATTTCAAATATTGCCATGCATCATTAAGAGTTGCATAAGCATGTAATGCATTGCGAACATCACTAAGAGAAATGTGAAATTATTAGCGTTTATAATTTGAGACTGTGAAGTTTTCAGATGGGAAGTAAATACATTTCTTTTTAACATAGGGAAAAAATTGCGGACACATTTAAATAAATTATAAATACATTTGTGACTTTACTTACAGTGTGTACAGAGGAATGAAAGTTGTCAACCAGTTCTGGCACAAATTAAGTTAAATCCTTCGTAATGAGAAATAAACAATATCTTTGACCTTTCTTGCCTTGACCTTTTTTTTTAATTACAATTCAAATTGAACTCTTTTAATTTATGTTCATTATCATCTGAAAATTATTCAGATCTCAATATTTAAATACATAATTAATAATTGTTTTTATTTAAATAAATAATTAATTAAATGGTGCGAAATAAAAAGTATAACTACATTATTTAATTTAATATGTATCATTACTTCAATTTGCCATTAATGTATGACAAGAAACAGTTTAAAATTAAAGACATTTACAAAATATAGTATAACAGTTAAGCATGTTTGAAGAATTTAAAAGTATAAAAATGAATGAACAATATTGAATTTTAATATTTGTAACAAAATTCTTGGCTAAATTGTATAATAAAAGCTTTATTTAAAATTCGAAACATAATCTTCTTGCCACTCTCGACAACATATTAATTTATCTTAACTGGTAGAAGGCAATTTACCAACTGATACTTAAAACAAAGGATGCTAAATTTGGTGGTTATGATATCACAAATACTTCGAAAAATAAAAATAAAAAAAAAAAAAAAAAAAAAAAAAATGTTTTCATCAACCACAAGAATGCATTTCTTCAGTATTTTTCATTTGCTAAATAAGCACATAGAAATAAAGAAACATTTTTCCAAATTTCTTTCATATCATAAAAAAGTGGTCTGTTAAAAATTAACAAATGAGTTGTAATTTATCGTCTGCATCTAGAATTATTTAATTATTTTAACAACATTAACCTAAATTTAGTTTTAAAAATTTGCGTCTCTTTATTTTATGGAGTAATAAGTTAATTAATTAAACACTAAAAAATTTTAAATCATAATTTCTGAAACTATTTTTGTTCTAAAAAAATTATATTAGTTTTTAATTATTTTGAAATTCAATTAATTTAACTTCCTTTTTTCTTTTGGAACATATGAAACTCAGACCGTGCATTTACTTTATTATTATTTTTTTTTTAATTTCATAAGCTTTAACTAAAATTAAAAGAAAAGTATACACGTTACAGAAATTCACATTATTATGACACTTTATGCACAAATAAATAAAGTATACTTCATTTCTAACCTAAGCTGCTAATCAAACTTATAACAAGAAAAACATATGTAAGATTAATGACATTTATTGCATCTCATGCAACTTAAGCATTTACAATTTACTGTTTCCGCAACTATTTGAATTAAGTAAAAATTTTATGTTGAAATAGTAGTCAGTCTAGACAAGAAAATTATGTTTTTTTAAAGAAGTGTTACGTCATTAATGAATTGTGACGTAAAATCTCACTCACTTTGTAATTAAAACATAATTTTTTTTTATTGCTAATCTCGTTTAAAAATAAAATTTTCAAATTATCTATGTTCATTCTAATTAACACTTTAGTTGATAAGAAAACCGCAGACTTTTTTTTTTTTTTTTTTTTTTTTTATTATTTGAAATACGAATTTTGATTAAAGCAAATGCAATAATTATACATATTTTGTCATATTATGACAAAACATGCTATGGACTGCTCTTTAAATTTTAAGTCTTTATGTTTTAGTGCACAATGTACAGGATATATATTTTGCCTTGACCTCTGAACCTAAAATTCTAACTTTTAATTAACTGCCAATCTAAATTTATCACATTATTTTAAACACATAAATATAAATTAGTAGTGATATTTAGAATCAATATTCAAGAAATTTGAAACAAACAAGTGTGATTTCTAATTATAATCAAACGATGCCAAGATCGATTGACAATTGATTGTATAATGTATAAACATTACATTAGACGTATTTGTCAGTATATTTCTGATAGGGAAACTGTCTCACCTTGCTTTAGTTCTCACATTAAGGATGATGCCGAGATAGCTGGAGGTGATGGATATCTCCTTTCATCGGGTTTGAGAAAAAGATAGCTGAAGGGGCTTCTCAGATCTTGGGGCGGCGTCGGTAGGTAGGTGGGGGGACAACCGCACAGTCCATAAGGGCTACCGAAAGCCCTGGAATAAGATAGCGAAGAAAGAATGCTGCTGGCTGCGGCGGACGAATAAAGAGAAGTCGGCGAAGCAAGATATGGGCTAGTCGGCGAAAAGTCTCCATTCTTTTTCAGCTGCTCCCCTAGGGTGGAGCTGTAGTAAGGACTTGGAGCAGGCAGAGAAAGAGGAAAAGTCCTTGCTGTTGCCGCTTTCTCGCTGTCGAGGGGAGATCCGCCGAATGTATACCTTGTTAGGGGGTCCAAAGGAGGCAGGCTGAAGAAATGGCTCGTGTCCTTTTTCGCTGACGCGGGTTTCGGTTTTCGCCTCGGTCTGTACTTGTAGTCAGGATGTTCCTTCATGTGCAGCGCTCTGAGCCGCTTGGCTTCATCGATGAAAGGACGCTTTTCGAGTTCCGTCAACTGCTTCCATTCAGCTCCCAGTCGCTTGCTGATTTCGGAATTGTGCATTTTGGGATTTTCTTGGGCCATCTTTCGACGCTGACCTCTCGACCAAACCATAAATGCGTTCATCGGTCGCTTCACGTGGTCGTTGCTGCAAGTCATCTTCGTTATGTCCGCCATTGTGTAAAAAAGACTAGTCACAGCTCTTTTATCAAGCGACCATTATTTCTTTCCGCTTTTACAACAAATTCCTTTTATTATTCTTTTTGTTAACGCAGGATTTATTTTGTGACAAGGCAGCGATTACAGCGTACGCATGTCTCAACAAACCCGTCTGCATTGCCCCTCTCTCCGAAGTAGCTAAGATTTTGTCGTCCCACCTCGCTACCGTGGATGTAACGAGTTCTTTGAATGGTGCGTCAGCTGTCTGTCAAGCTCCTTAAGGCGGGGTGTAAGTTGGATCGGCACGCCTACAATTGATGTGCTCGGCGAGATTGGCCAGATGGCTAAAAAAGAACAGATTATTGGCTGGATCAGTGACGCTCAGAGACCGAAGCATCCTTGAGCACAGCGCCATCTAACGATTGAGGTAATATTCTCATACGTTTCGTTTTATTTTTCCCTCGCTGCTCTTCAACTGTCTAAATATCGCATAGAAAACGAGTTTGCGAAAGGTGATTTGTTTGAAAGGAAAGCATTCAGATGATTATGCGATTCGTTAATTTTTAACCATCGCCTGGTTTTAATTGTTTGTTTCGGCTCACTTAATTATAACTAAATTCTTAAACGGAAAAAAAAAAAAAAAAAAAAAAAAAAAAAAATGATAAAAGTTCATTTTGAAAAAAATGCAAAAATGCAATTGAAACTCTTATTAGGAAAATATAAGTAAAATTGTTAATATAACATGGAGGGTGTTGATAACGTCAAAATTATTTCTGCAATACATTCAAACACTCTATTCTCAATATTTTGGGTATCATTTCTCAAAAGTATTCTACAATACCTCCGCCTCCTTTTGCTTCCATCCTTACAGCCCTACCAAGTCACGTGCCGGAAAAGGTATTAATTCAAAAGAGCTGGCAAAATTGCTTGAAGCGCGATAATTCAATAATTATCTCAATATTGGCATTGGTATATGTCTGCAAATTTCTATTCAGAGGGAAAAAAAAAAAACAGTTGGATGAAAAGCTAAAAAGATGTAGTAAATAGTTTTCCGTTTATTTTTCGAATCAGATCCGCACTGTGGCTAGTGGGGTTATTCAGGTTTTTCATATATATTAGATGAAGTGGTTTCCAGAGAAAGGCACACACTATGGATCTAACTTATGTGCAGATTTGTATGCTTTGCCTAATTATAAACAATTAAAAATTATAAATTGAAGAAATTTAAATCAAATTAATTACAAATAAGAATGTTAAAGCAAAGTTAAAATAATACATTTAAGACTGAAGGTCAAAACAATAAATTTAACGTAACAAATAAAAATTTGTAACATAAACAGATAGTTGTTATGAACCTTTAGCTTCAGTTGATGATAATACGTACAAGAAGAATGTGCGTCAAATACATTCTTCTTGAACAATTATGCTGAAAGTAAAAAGTTCAAGTAAACTTAAAATAATACATTACAAAGGGTCCAAAACAGTAAATTGAATGTGGTAATAAATAAAAATTTGGAAGACAAATAGATGGTTGTTAGGGATAACTTCAGGTGTCTGCGGTTTCAGGTATGGAAACACGAAACCAGCAAATAATAGCGAAGACGGCTGTCCGTTTGAAGTTCGAAAAGAAGATGAATGAAACAAGCAAATAACAACGAAGCAAACACGAAAGCAGCCAATAACAACGAAGATGGTTGTCTATTTAGGAGCAAATGTTTGTTTGCAGAATGTGAAAAACTAGCAGAAATATATCAAGGATAAAAACACAGTATTAAAAAATATGACAAAATTTTAAGTGGATCCTTTCAAAGACGTACCGTTAGTGAATTCCTCAAGGAGGCATTTCCAGATTTAAAAAAATTCAGTACAGACGATGAGATAAAGGATTGGATTATTTAATTATGGAAAAGCACGCGATGGCTATCTGCCTAAGAGGAGGAATGCCTTCGTGGAGGACTTTCTAAGGGAAACTGGCTCGTATACACGTTACACATGGAGAAAACCACGAAAACACTCATGCAGCCAGCCTGTTCGCGGGATTCGAACGTCGGACCGAAGTACCAGTGTTAAGAGTCTTTACCGCTCGGCCGCTGGTGGACCGATGAGATAAAGGAAGCAATTCAGTAGATTCCGATGCAATTCAGTAGAGATCATAAGATAAAGAAAATTATGCATTATGCATTTCAGCACAGACTATAAGATAAAGGAATTTATGCATTTTTCATCACTATAAAATAAATTAACTTGTGCATTATGCATTATATATAGACTATAAGATAAAGGAATCTGTGCATTAGCGATTATGAAGTCCTCCAAAAAAAGACTTCTTTCAAAATCCAGGTTTTACTGACTCGTTGATACAGAATATAGAGAGGATTATGCTAAAAAATTGCAGCATTATTTTCAATCCTAATTAGGTATGTTTTATTAGCAACAAAAGTATCAAGGTAATTCAAGAGAGAAGAATATCGACTTCAGTAGCGTACATGTCGGTCCAAATAGGTGCATGTCGATCCCTCTTCATCAGAAGCGAAGAAATCTGCCATCAGGGGCAGATTTCTTTACTCCTGATGAAGAGGGATTTCGAAAATCGATGGAGTCTTGACTAAAATCTATCTCAAACACAAGGCTGCTTTGCCTAATTTTATGTAACAAGGTTTTTTTCACCCCCCTACTAAAATTTCTAAAAAATTGTGATTCTGCAAAAAATTATGTTTTTTTTCTCGTACATTTTGGAACTCATGCGTTGATTTCATAAATTTAACATTCTGTTACATTTAGTTTGATAAGACGATCTCCAGAGTACCAATGGCATTAAATTTTAATTTAATCTTTACATACAAATTTAAGTAAAGGTTTATAAATATTAAATTCGTATTTACGAAGGGGAAAATTCCAAGAGATATGCAGTGAAAACAGCTATCTTTAATACAGAGGTTTTAGAAAAAAATTGAAGTTACCTTTACTTTTGCATCAGAAAGCAATATACAGAGGCGCTTCAAGTTACCAAGTTACCTTCCGAGTACCCGTTTGTAATATGAGTTTGTTCGAAATATTTTATCTCCAAGCAATGCACATCTTTTAATGTATATATCTTCTGAAGATGTTCGTGAGATAACAGCTATAAATAAAATCAAATAAACAATTTAAAATAATAAAAGAAACTGAAAAATTTAAAAGGTTTCAAATTTTAACGGCGCCCAAAAGAGTTCGTTAAGGATTTTTACGCTTTCGCTGAACCTCGCAATTTACCAGTCTGTTGTTACACTCACTCCTACTTATCCCCCAACTTTTTTGTCTTTTTAGCTTTATTATAAAGCATCATTTCCTTCGCATTTACGCCACGTACAATTCAATAGCAAAATTACAAGAATTTTTAATGCAGCATAGCAATATACGTTTAGAATTTCGATGCAGCGTAAGTGTTGGTATAAATTATTCTGCGTATTTTTCCGGTCTTTTCTCAGTTCATCATATCAATGTTTAGTTTTCTTACTAAGATGGCTTTACAAAACTACGTTTTGTCTTTTTATTATTATCATTTTTTAAGTTTATTTTAGTTATTAAATATCACGTTCTTGGAGCTTACGCCACACAAGTATCGATTCAACAGCAAAATTACAAAATGTTTAAAAACAACATATCTTTAGAATTTCCGATAGACAGTCTCTGCTGGATATAAAAATGTTTTATTCTGTATAGTGTTGCCACTGTCCCGCTTTGACAACCTGGAGTCTGTTAACTAATAACTCGTTAAAGTTTTACAGAATATGAAAGAGAAAATAAAACAAAATTGAAATTTAAAATTCTGTCTTCCAGGTGCCCCTGTTCGGGTGGAGGGCTAGGTTATTCAAAACTTGATGTCTCTAGGTACTGTTGTTTTTTTCACAATGCAAGAAACATATATACTTTCATGGAGATTCTTTATTATTCAATTCCTTTAAATATAATACAGAGCGATAATATTTGGTGGCAACAATCTGAAAAGTGAATCGTCGTTTATACTGATGTAAAAAAATGCCGGTTCGAGACTAATATCCTAATTTCCCGTTTGTGTTAATAATAGATTTAAATTTTTACATTCTCTGCATTGTAAATGTAAAATTGTAAACAAACAAAGATAAAAGGTAATTCGGATTTTCGTCTTTGAGGCATATGTGATGGGGCATGAATGACCCTAGCAGATCTTTACATGGGTGAGGCTGAGTCAACGTCTGACTCGCCCTCTGAAGCCTGATCGACAAGTAAAAAGCGCATGAGGCGGTATGAGAGGTGGAAAGAGTTGGTGTGTTAGATGGGCCTGGATCACCATTTTCTGAGGTGCCTTTCTTAAGAAAATAAATGTCTGAACCTGTCAGAAGAGGTTTTCTCTTTCTCTCGTGGTAAATAAGACGGTACTACAATACCATCTGGTGCAGCAAACAAACTTTACTTTAGCAAATCTTTCAGAATTTGGGTCTTAATTAAAAAAAAAATAAAAAAATAAATAAATAAAGAATCTTTGGACACTATTCAACTTTTAACAAATTTTGTGTTTATGCATAGGATTGTTCGTATCTGCGAAAGTTCGTAAACTGAGGAACGTCTGTTTTGATAACTCGTGATAAGTTCCAATTTTTGCATGTAATACAAGTAATAGTAAATTTCACAAGGAACGATTTCTATAACTTATAAACCCACTTTTCTAACCTTTCATGACCTCTACTGAAATATTAGAAAAATTGATAATAATTATATCGAAATATTTCGGATTAGGAACAGAATTCGATTAAAATTTTTATCGCGTAGATATAAATTTTAACCGATAAAATTTTAAATGCACCGATATAAATAATGTTCTAAATGCCTGAAAATATTATTGGATTTTCTGTTAGTTAGTTTTCATTGCAAGAACGATGAGAAAATTACTATCACAAAGAATGTCTATGAAAAGTTCAAAAACGAAAAGAAATTGGATGGGATGACAGCAGTGCTAGCGAATGACGTTATAGTAGTTTGAAATTATTTTTATCTACAACAGTATGCAATTTAATTTTACGCACTTCGGAACACGTAAGTGGTTGTTGAATCGTCTGTAAGACAAGATCATCGATCTTAAAAAAATAAAACTTTGCCAAAAACAAAAAGGTTTAGCTGACTTTTTCTCACGTGTACAAAACACGAAAAAAATCGTTC